TGAGAGGCCATTTCAGTACACTCACGACTCCAGGCTCAGGCTGAGCAATTATTCAATTACAAGCGCTCCTTGTCTTTGAAAACTGGCGATGTGTCACCCTCATCAGTACTAGATGACTGGAGTCAATCCAAGAGCCTGGAGCTGGAGAACACTGCTGAGATTTGCTAACCTTGGAGCACCTGCCCCAACTCCTGAAACTCTAATCTGCCAGCAGGGGACTCTTAACCAGCTGTATCTGCCTTTGAACGTGCAATGCAGTTCTGGGCTAAGGCAGGGCCACTCAAACAGTCTGCTCCATTCCAGTATTCAACCTGCGCCTGAGGTCTTTCACTGGTGCTCAGCAGGAATGAGGGAATGACTGGAGCAGGGGACTGCAGTGGACCGGGTACAAGGTGGCAGCAGGGTCTCCAGGCCCTGAACTGCATGAGCTGCTTCTTCTGCCTCCTGGTCCACAAATCGCTGGATTAATGTTCCCCCAGGAACTCCACAAGTACAGCGGGACCCTTTGTTTCAGGAAATGCCAGAGGAATCGCAGCTCTGTCAGAATGGAAAGGTGAACACTGGCACACCGCCAACCCATTTCAGCCCAGAACAATGGAGAAGGAGGGGGACTGAACGCCTGGGATTACTGATGCGTTAATAACCACTGACGGTGCACAAATAGCAAAAATAAGATAGCAGAGCAGCACAATAAAACAATCACAGATTCGCTAACCCTGGAGCACCTGCCCGAATTCCTGAACCACCATCTGCCAGTAGGGGACTCTTAACCAGCCTTATCTGCCTTTGAACTTGCAATGAACTTGCAGGGCCACTCAACCAGTCTGCTCCATTCCAATATTCAGCTCCAACCTGCTCCTGAGGTCTTCCACTGGTAATTAGCAGGACTACTGCAGCTATTAAGGTGCTGGTTGTATCAAAATTCGAGAATGGAGCAGATAAGAAGAATCTACATGTACAGTATAGTATGCCTGGGTTAGGGGCTGGCCTTTCTGTTCCTTCTTTGTGTATTTTTTCAGCTTCAGCCAAAGCTATTCAAATACCAGCACTCTGACAAAAGCTTTCTTGGCAGAGAAAATCCTGAGCAGCACAGGATGTCATGATTAGCCCTTCCCTCACATGTGCAAATGCAAGGACACTGAATTGTCAGGCTCTGACAGAACACCCCAGACTCTTATTCTCACACGGCTGGCACTGATCAGATGTGTATCGCCCACGTATCAGCCAGCACCGCTTTGCACAGTCACTGAGCGCCGGCGGAGTTACACACAACAGAGACTTGTTGTTGGCAAACGAATGCATTTACAGATGGCACTGCTTGGAAACTCAGGGGCAAATCAGGAAAGTCTTCAAGAATAAATTACCTTCCTCTGTGCGGGAGGAGTTCAGTTTTGATTCTTGGTCTTTTCGGCAATGCTCTTATTAGCTAAACTGAAGTCGTTAAAGGCTATGTTGACCTCATTTAACCAATTGCTCCGGGGCTGAAGCAGGAGTTGATATAAAAATGTAGACTGCACCCTTCAAAAATCAGGACCAAACAGCCCCATCCCCTTGGGTAAAAAACATGCGATGAAGGAAGATAAAATCAATACTATCCAGTGTCAGTTCTCTTTCTGGATGTTTCATGTTTAATTTCTTCCATTCACTTTGCATATTCATTATTTCCTTTAGCTCAATGGCTTTTTCAGGGCAGTGACACTCAGAAACCAAATTTCACTTTTCTGCATTTTACTTCTGGGGTTCAATTTCTAAATTCTCAGTCTGTTGGCTATGGTTTGTCTGAGGTGCTCAACATCTCAATGTCACCCCAGCCCTCTTCAAAAAGAAAGGTGGCTCAATACAGCCCCCTACTGGTCTCTTCCATCAAAAGCAGTACAGAAAAAACGCTCACAGAGGTGTGTTGTCAAATTTGTACAGATCATTTGTCCCAGTCAAACATATGCACAGAAAAGCATTTACTATCTCACAATTTAAGCAGAGGAGACTTAAAATAATTCCAAATCTTAATTCAGCGATTTAAAAGCCAGTCACCTGAGGCTCTTAGGTGATCATAAGTTTTTTAGTCAGCAGAAATCTCACAAGTCTAAAGTCCTATCATGAGCTTAAATTATTATTACATTTGTTTTTGTTGCATGGCATGAAGACTTGTATCTGAGAACAGTGTCAGAATGAACTCCTTCTCTCCACCATGTTGTCTGGGCAGAAATACACCAGAATATTTTTCAGGTTTCTTTTGCCTCAACAGAAAATCCCTCTTCAAAACGTTTTTCTGATCCCAAGTTGTGACTCAGCTGACCTGTCAGTTTATGGAAAGTCTGTTGAAGTAGAAAATGGATTTTTTCCCCCAGCTATCCATCAATCCCCTCACTTTCCCTTGGTCTCTCTGTGTTTTAAGTTGTGCTTATTGTTCCACGACTAATTCTGATTAAAATGTAAAGGTGCTAAATAATCTATTGATTTTACTTCAACAAGATGAAAACCTGCAACATTTACTACCAATGCAGAGAAGGGATTTGACATTGATTCCACTGGCTTGTAATTTGTTTCATTTTCAGCTCAATGGATTTGCAGACAGCTGCCCCTGCCTCCACGCCTCGCTAAGACAGAACTCTTTTGTGTCATTAGCACCAGAACAGGGGACCTCAGCCCCAGCACGGGAGTACTGCTGGGTCTGCTCTTTTTTGTTCCAACTGGGCTTTTTATTCACCAGGACTAATTGATTCGTTTGCAGAATGACTTAATTTTAGCTGTACAAATAACTCATTGTGTGTAGTGTATTGATCACATTACTCCTATCCTGGAGTCCCTGCACTGGCTTCTTGTCAAGTTTCATGCTCACCTATAAGGCTCTGCATGGCTTGGCACTTCAGTACCTGTGTGAGTTACTATCATTTCACTCCCCACCTCGCAACCTTCGCCCTTCTAATTCTGGTCTCCTGTCTTCCAAGCCCGTCTACACTCTATGGGTGATAGGGTCTTCTCCTGCTGCTGCCCAAAGCTCTGGAATTATATCCCTATAGATATCACAGAGCCCCCTTCCCAGCGTACTTAAAAACTAGAATCAAACCCTTTTTAGAAGGGCTTTTATTGAACTGCCTTCCTTCTGTATTCGGACCCTCACTGTGACTGTCATCCTGCTGCCTCCTCCCCTTGTGTGTTTCTTTCTCTGTAAAGCGCTTTGAGAATCCACTTTTAAAGGCACTAGATAAAATCAAGTTTATTATTATTAGTCATTAGCGTTAACTGAACTCATAAATTGTTTGATAAGAACATATTCTACTCAAACGTTTGGATTTTTTTTGTTACTTATAAAACGCAATGGCCTCGTACATGTTAAAGGGTTGATAAACAATCCAGCAGGTCATCATGACCCCATTCTTAAGGCAAGTATGGTTTCTACTGAGTAACTGAGGGTGGAACTCCAACATTAACCTGTGTGTGGATTGAGAACCCATGGGTTACAAAGTGCGATCTCATGCTTTTAACACTTCATAAACTACAGGCATGTGAAATTACCAATGGGGTTTACAAGGTAAATGTCTTTATTTGAGGTATTTTGAACATTACACTTCTTATAAAAAAAATGTGAAAATCCAAATATGTATTAAACAAGAAAGAAAATAACCTGACAGTTCATATTCTCTCATGTTCCAAAAGTCAAGACAACTTCAAAAACTTTAAAAGTCATTTTTGTGAAACCAGATTTACAATGTTGCTGGTGCCAAGTAACCATACTCATTTAGTGTTAACACTGCATACAACAGAACTGCCTTATTGCACTTCGTATTTGCTTTGGTTGGATGGTAGTAGAAGCCGGTTTTGTTATTTTCTTGAAATAAAAGATAACGGCTACCAGCAAGGGTGGCACAGCTGCTCCACTGCTCTTAGGTCCTGGGTTCCATTCCTGACACAACTTCTGTGTGGAGCTTGCACGTTCTTCTTCTGGTCGCATTTCTTTCCAGGGACTTCAATTTCTTCCCCCTCCCCCCACTCCTCCTTGGCCATGCTTGCTGGCTTAATTAGTGCTTTTAAGTTGTCCGAGTCTGTGCCCTGCAATGGACAGACACACGTTCCTGCCCGCAGTCCGGCCTCGTGACCTGTGTTTCTGGGATGGCATGGGATCCACTACTGGAAATGTGCAGTTTCCCGATGATGAATTGTTCTATATTCCTGCTGGTGCATGTCTCCATGTCTTTTGGGGGTGAAAAACAAGTCACAGTTGATCAAATGGCACTTTTCCCATTCACTCTTAACACTGAGGCTGAGGACACAAGAACTCTAATCCAAGATTACTCGTGGGGGCCACCGTAACATGCCTATGGGCTGTACAGGTAAATGCAGGGCTAACTGTTCATTTATGGCTGATAAATGAATTGTGAATGTTACAAGGTAGGAGAGGGAAGACGGCAACAACATTTCAAAACTGCAAAATAAAAACTTCTAAACCCTTTTTATTTCTTACACAACTGCCACATCACACCCCATACCCCTACTTCTATGAGAAGAGACGTATCGTGTGCTTTAGCAGCTGAGAGCCTTTGGATCATGTTTCATCCACCCATCTTCTAACCAGTTCATCCAATTCAGGGTCGATAGGGAGCCTGAGCCTATCCCAGCAAGCAACGGGCCTCCAAAGTCCATCACAGGGCAGACAGACACAGACACAAATACACACACTCGTACCTGGGCCAGTTCTCCCAGAAGCCAATTGAGCTACCAGTACGACTCTGGGCTGTGGGAGGAAACCAACAAGAACATGGGGAAAACATACAAACCCCACACAGATAGCACCCCAGGGGCCCGAATCCTAACCGCTGTGCCATCCCAGCACGGAAATATGATGTATAGATCCGTAAATCAACCCAAAACCTTGTATCACGGTCAAAAAAAGTGACATCATCTTCTAATACTGAGAACTGCAAAGTCGATACTTCTAATCAAGAAATAAAAAACAAGAAAACAAGAACAGGTTCTTCCAGGAACAAAACCACAAATGCCTTTGCCCCCGGTACATCTGAAATCCACAAGCCGGGCCTGATTGTCTGCTTACTGCCTCGCCCTGAAGTTTCCTTTTTCCAATTCTCCTCCCCGCGTGTGGGTCGTCAATGGGTTAGCTCCAAACTGTGAGCGCCGGCAGACGCACCCCAAAACCCCTCCCACCAGTGGTGCGACCCGATTCCGGTACTACAAGCTCTCCACAGACCTGACGGACACACCCCAGGGCGCATCCCGCAGTGGTGCTCCAGTGGCGCTCCCTGCTTTTAAAACTATTTTCGGACAATCCAAAGATCAGGGTCTGGGTTCCAGCGCCTTTACAGCCCAAACCCCTAGGAGATGTGAAATACAAAAGCCAGTCCTCTCGTAAAGTCCCGGCAATGAGACTGAGCCCGGGATGGAAATCGACAACTCGCACTGCATTGCAGGAACCTGTGTTACTTGTGCAGAAGTAATACCTTTATAATGATTTGAACCAATGTGTGTCCACACGTACTCCAGATAACAGTTCCTAGCCATTCCAGCCTGGAGCTGGCGAAAACCCGAGACGGCTCAGGCCGCGGTGGAGCCGGAGCCCCGCGGAGGAGTTAAAACTCGGTGTGCAGCGTTCTCCTGGCGTCCCTGCCCGGGACCTCGCTGGGCTTCACGAAGACGCCCTCCATGGCCCTCCAGTAGTTGTGCTGGCTGGCGTGGCGCATGGCGTGGACCTCGCGCTGCCCGTGGATGGGCCGGCCGTACTGCTCGCCCGTGACGGACAGGAGCCCCTCAGTGGCGACGTGGCGGAGGCGCACGGGCTCCTCGCGCTCCCACAGCTCCCCCCCGCACAGCACCGTCCACTCGTCCAGGGTGTCCCCCTCTCCGTCCTCCCCGAACGCGCTCACCTCCTGCAAGACAGGCGCGCAGCCGCCCGTCAGCCCGGGACGAGCCGGGGCGCTGACCCCCCGGAGGGGAGGGGGGGGTCGTCGCGGCGTGACCCTAAAAAAAGGTGCCATCTTTCAACCACCCCCGGGCCTTCCCAGCTTGCTCGGGCTCGCTCACCTGGTTGGCGGACAGCGGCGAGGAGAAGTGGTGGCTGTGCAGGTTGCGGCCGGTGTTGACGTGGGTCAGCCGGATGGTCTGGCCGCAGCGCACGGGGGTGCCGCGCTGGCACGCCGCGCTGCCCGTGCCACGCACGCTCCAGTAGCTGTTGCTGTCCTCCACGGCCGTGACGCCCGTCACCGACTGCTGGCCGCTCCCTGGCACGGGGGAGAGCACAGCGCTGGGTCAGGCTGACGCGCCCGGCGCCTCAGGAACGGGCGCGCTTGGCTACAACACAGGTGCGCCCAGCGTACAAATGCGCGCCCGGGATTTAACAAGAACAGACGCGTCTCTGTCAACTGCTGTGCTGGCTGATTTAAATAAGGGCTGGGGACATCCCGTGTCGACGAGATCTAGAGTCTTCACTCTATTACGCACTCATTTACCTAACCGAATTAAAACCTGTAAAAGAAGTGTTTTTTTTATGTCAGTCGGGGGCTAGGTGAAAGGCAGAAGTCAAATCTGTAGGACTCCCGTTCACTGCAGTTGCCCATCCTCGATTTAAAGAGCTGATCAGCTCGGTGTTGTGCACCCCTACACTAGTCTAGTCCAGCCTCTCATACACATGACCTGTTTCCAACACCTGGGAAGACCTGATAGTTACTAATCTGCTGTGCAAAGTCATTTATTCAAGTACGGCAACTGTAGTTAATTGAGGACTGAATGTCTTGAGATTTGCGTTCGCAAATGAGCTGATCACAAGTCATTACGTCTTTTGAGAAACTGATTATAGGGACCTGGGGGGCCGGCGGAATGCGGGCTTCACAGGAAGAAAACTGTGTTCATAATGAATGATTAAGCTCTGGTCTCATGATCTGTTTTTTTAGAAACGTTGTCAAATACAACACTACAGTACTAAGACGTGACTTTTGAGGTACGTTTCGTCGCGTTAGGTCTTATGGTGCTGTTCAATTCCGCCTGCTTGAGTTAAGTTAAACGTTGGCAATATGACTGTGGTTTTAATCAACTGCACCCGGGGGACCCTGTCATCGGCAGCGAGAAACGGACGCGAGTTGTACTCACCAGACCCGTATCGGACATCGTGCGAGTGCAGCCTGACGTTGTGCTTGACGTTCAGCAGCTTCACGATGGACCCGCACGTCACGAACCTCAGCTCCGTGCCCTGCGAGAGGGTCCACAGGTACGAGAACAGCAGCGTGAGCGCCAGGACCGGACCGACACCACCCGAATCGCCCATCACTACCGCCAGCGCCGCACTCCTCAGCCCTGCCTACGTCACCAGCAACCAGTCGGTGCCCCGCACACGGGGTTCCTAGAGCAACGACTATCGCCAGAGCGCCCTCTGCTGCGCCGGCGTACCCATTACACAATTACGTATTTCTTCTCGCTAGCCGGTCGTCATCATGCCTGTGGTCTATAACTGAATCCGCATAGATTCTCTCGCTTTTTTATTGTATAGCCTATATGGCATACAGTTTTCAATTCTATTGGTTATTAAAATAAAGCAGGGAAATGTTAAAGCAAATTAAGGGGGTTCAACCAAGGGTCTAGCCAGGAACGCTCAAGATGATGTCCAGGGGGATCCCCAGAAATAAAGGAAACGTTTTCATCTCCCCCACACGCTATGTGCATGTACGATCAACCCTCAGACAGTGGGTCTTGTCTGACGGCGCTCACCATTGATCTGCTGGATTTCCACCTGCACGCTGGCAGTACATTTCCTGAAGCAGTTCACACCGTGGGCCACCAGGTGGAGCCGTTCCTGCCCGTTTCCGATGACCTAGGGGCGGAAGTGTCTCTCCAGCATCCCGGAACTACATTGTTTCACGCCGAAGCTGGCAGCCATTTTTCTTTAAAGCTGCATTAAGGTGCTGCGGCTCCGTATTTGACATAGTTTTGGTGATTTATTTTTGTGTTTTTTTTGGGAATACTCGGTGAGAGGGGACGTAAGTGTGTTTGCTTCTTTTGTGCTCTTTAGGTTTGCCACATAGATCAAGCGGTTGACTCTAAATCGGCGTTAGGCGACAGCCGTAAAAGCCGTTGCAGTCGAAATGCAGTGATGTTTTCGCCATTGGCTTTTCTCTGAGATTTTGCGAAATAGGCCCCATTGTTGTTTTTTTTCCTCCCCAAAAGACCCGTGGCGAGCACTCGCATTAACATCCAGTATCTGTTTTATTTCCCCGAAGGTAGATCGGTGAATTTGTATTTCAGTATTTGCGTCAATTGTGACATCTCAGAAATGAGCAGATTCCAGCTTGTTTGCTGGGATTTCGCCGCAGCGGCTGAGTTGCCTCTGATTCAGCACAAGAAGAGCTCGGTTTAAGAAATCGAGCCACCCAAAAATATTGGTGACATCTGTACCCGGGGAAGTCATATCAATTTGGTCGGATTTCCGTGCACGGCAGATCGCATGGAAAAAATGCGTAACAATTTATGGTGATATTTAGAAACCAGGTAGTCCAGATTCCTCTTACATAATCAACACGATGAGGCGAGATAAGCATTTTCACAGTCAGCGCTGGATGAGCTGAGCGATATCAGTTCGCCGGCTCTTTTGTTAACGATACCCGTGCAACTGCTAAGCAAGTCGGGTACAAAGCTGGGAGAAATGGCGAGTTTTGAACGCGGCCACTGCCTTTTCTCGTCGTTTGAATCCTCATGTAGGTGCGTCATGATGCAGTGCAGCCGAGCGCCCCGGGTTGCGGGGCGAGCTAGTTGGAGCATCGACGCTCATCACTCCTTCCCCGAATACGTTTCTAGTATATTAAAGCGTCGTTTTACAACTAAACGCAAAACTGGGTTTGATGTGCGGTGTTCCACATCGCCGAGGTACGGTTTCGGCTCATTTCAGCTGGGCGTTTAGGTGGTGTCTGGTGTTTCGACCGTTTCTCAACTTTGCGGCCTGAGACTTCAAATAACCTTTTCTGCCCCCCCGTTAAAATTAAGTCCATTAAGTCCATGGTGGTTATGTCGTTTTGTACCGTTAGGTACTCAACTAGGTTATTAGGTGAGAATCACTTGGTACTGCTGTAGCAGTAGACAGCGGCTCCATTGAGACTCCCTTCCCCTCCCACAGCCGCCTGGTCCTGTCTGGGCTGGGGGTTTATTGTTTTGCACTTGGCCAGTGCCTCTCGAGTGGCTGGTGTGGTCCTGACTCAGCTCCATGTCTCGCAGTTCCCGCCATCATGTCCGACTTCGTGGAAAGTGAGGCCGAGGAGTCCGAGGAAGAGTACGACGACGAAGGCGACGTCCAGCCCAAAAGGACGAAGAAGTTTGTGGAAGTCGATGATGGTAAGCCGGGAGGGGTAATCCCCACCGAAATGTGCCTGGAAAAATTAAGCGGACAGGCGCCTTGCACATTCAGTCCCTGAAACTGGTCCTGGAGAACTCCATGTTCTCCGCATCCCGAGTGCGTATGTATCCCACAGCAGTCTGGCTCTGAAGTACAGCACACAATGCAGTTCTGATCTCCAGCTCATGTCGACAGACATCCAAGGGTTTCCCACTGCAGAGCAGCTTTGAAACAAGTGAGGTGTTCCAAGCTGCAGGCTCCTGTGCCTTTCTGATAAAGATGATCACATTTTAATATTTTATCGCTTTCTGCCTGAAGCCTGCAGTACTTGTCCAGTATTTCTGATCCAGACCTGCACAATAGTGATCTGCTTTATCAGTGGAGGAAAAGTATTAATTGACACCACTTTAAACAGCAGTGGATCATGCAGTTAATAGCTCAGAATAAGATTCGTTTGTTCCAGGGGTGCCTGTTTGATCTTAACCTCATAGACAGGAAAGTCAGGAATTGTTCCGGAGGGAAAGAGCGATTGAGCAAGTCCTGCCAGGGGCCCTGCGGGAGGAATGAGGGCGTCTGGGTCCTGCGCTACGAGCTGAATGCCGGCTTGTTTTCCCCCCTGCTCAGAAGAAGAGGAGGAGGAAGAGGAAAACCCAGAGGAGCAGGACGAGCACGGGAACCTGCTGGGGCTGATCGATGACGACGTGGAGGAGGAGGAGGACGACGACGACGAAGGGGAGGGGGCGGGGGACAGCGACTCCGGGGAGGAGATCGGCCACAGGAAGCGCAAACGCAGTAAGTGCAGCAGACAGCAGCAGACAGTTAAGTCACGCAAGCCAAGCTCGGTAGTTCTTGTGTGCTAAGCAGAGGAACACAATGAATTTGTTTCCGGGTCTAGTGATGCGAGTCAGTATCACTCATATGTAGTTCAAGTAGGGAGCTGCGTCAGCAGGCGTAGGCTGCAGAGGAACGGGTAGCGGTTTTAGTCCATGCTGAAAAGAAAAGGAACACAATGTTTCAGCTGTGGAGCCTTCTTTTAGGTGTGCACCTGAAGAAGGCTCCACAGCCGAAACATTGCGTTTCCTTTCTTTTCAGCATGGAATAAACCTGCTACCTGTTCCATCATTCATATCCCCCCCATTTAGGCTGATCCTAATACTTCTTAAAAAGAAATGCAGATTGGTCTGTATTTTAGCAAACCTTAACCTGAGACATTGTTTGACATTGATTAAATAAACGCTATCGCTGCGATTCTCAACTGGAGAATTCATCTTGAGTCTAGGAGGTTTTTTTTCCTTTTTAAGTTGAAAAGCCGTTAATACCTTACGGTTCCTCTGCCGGTTTTAACCGTTTACCGCCTTCGTCACAGCCTTACCCTCTTGAACATTAAAGAGAAATAGGAATCCTACTGCAGTCCAGATTCTATCATTAATAATTTGGGAAGCACTGAGCGATTGTGGATTTCTTGTCTTTCTGCTCAGGTTTCGATGATCGCTTGGATGACGATGATATTGATCTCATCGAGGAGAACTTGGGAGTGAAAGTCAAGAGGGTAATGTTCTTTTAAAGCAAGCTTCCAGTTTGTATTAATTGGCAACAACTGCGGAGGCTTGCATTGTTTTTAATCTGTAAATCCTGAAATGCAATATTCAGTAGTTTGCTGGGCCTTGATGATTGTTTCAAGACTCTGGGTGTGACATCATTACACCACGTGGAAGACTAAATCCGTCCAGTTAATTCTTCTTCAACTGCAGTGCCACGGCTCGTGCACTAATGCATGCAAAGTGGTTTATTTAGTCACGCTCTCCCAGGATAGGAATTGAACTGTAGCCTCCTTGTTTTGTGCATTTCTCTGCACACTACACTGAAGCATGAAGCACACGCATTGCCTGGGGAAAATCATGGCAAAGATGGAGTGAAAAAATTGAACCGGTTCTTGTTTTCACGTTTTCTTTAGCGTTCAATTTGGTATTGAACGAAGCTAAAAATAAATTCTAGGTGCTTTCATTTGTCACTGTTAGTTTAA